CTCGATTGGCCCGTGGCCACTACCAGTCCTGTGCAACCTGACCTGACCTGACCTAACCTTGAAAGCGGTGCAGCTTACAATATCAAAATATGATATCGTGCCTTTTGTGTTGGTGGCCGCTGGAAATATAAAATTATGGAAAAATATGACAATCTGGGAATGGTTGGCGAAGGAAGTTACGGAATGGTGATGAAATGCAGAAATAAAGAAACGGGGCAACTGGTTGCAATAAAGAAATTTCTAGACAGTGAGGAGGACAAGTTGGTTAAGAAGATTGCTGCCAGAGAGATAAAAATGCTGAAGGTATGTGCTTAAAATTATTTAATTCTTGTAGCAACTCAGGCATGATAATCTGGTGAATTTGCTAGAAGTCTTTCGGAGAAAAAAACGCTTATATTTGGTATTCGAGTTTGTTGACCACACTGTGTTGGAAGACCTGGAAAACAACCCCAAAGGGTTGAGCGAAATAACAACTAAAAAGATTCTGTTTCAAGTAGTGCGCGGCATAGAATTCTGCCATGTTCACAATGTAAGTTTACCTACATGTGATATTAAATAGCACATGTTTTTTCTTGTATTTTCATGGTTTCTATCAAAAAAGAGATCTTTTCCATGCTTTAAATAATTGTCACATTATTTCAGATATATTGCAAAATGCATCTAAATTTATCAGTTCTTTTATCGACCCCGCTAGAAAAAAGCATCGAAAACCCACGCAGAATGCTCAAAAACCAAACTGCTTTGGGTCAAAAACGGCAATCAGACAGCAATAACTTTACAAACTTTCGGATCCTTCCTGTCAGATCGCACGAAGAGAGCACGTGGAGTGCTCGAAAAAGCTTCAATCAGCGAAGTCTTTTGCAGGACATTTGACCCCGGACCCGGGTCAATTCATAATTTGAATTTCCACCCCATATCAAAATGATATCAATCTGCTATCTTAGAATCATCTTTCTGCGTAATATAACCGTCAGATTAATTGGTAATAATTGCACGCATTGATCGGAGCTGTGGTCGAAAGAACCCAAAATTGTTTGTATATATTTACAGAAAGTACGGAGCAACCATTAACAGAGTTTGAGGGGAAATACCTATGGAATGGATGGTTGGGAAATGTAGCAAATTTTAAATAACTTTTCTTCAGATGGTGCAGCCGCAGAAGAAATAAAATGCGACTTAACGTGCGTTTTACGTGCGATAAAAAGCAATAAAGTGTTAACAGGGCGTTAGTTTAGATGCATTGGTGGCCGCTTGTCATTTATGGAGACACAAATAACGTGACAGGTTACTCTGTATTACCGAAACCACTCTCTTTTTGTTGTCATATTTTATGGCATAGGTCTATGCCATATTTAGTTGTTTGAGTTCATGCGAGAAAAATACGGTTTTCAAAACCTCTGCATTAACTTTTTTTGATGGAATCTGTGGGCAGATAAGTCTTTTCAAATTTTTCTAGTTTTGAGACAATTTTTAGAGGTGAGGCTTCATAATGATATTGAAACCTGACCATAGTTTGTCATTCAGATTCATTGCTTCAGTCCAGTTCAGTTTTCACAGAACAATTTGTGACTCTTGCCAATCGGGCGTCCTGCTTCGTGTGTTGTCGGCGAGTTTCCTCGGCTTCCGTTTTCTCGATATGCAATTTTTCTGCAAGACGGAATAGTGTGGTGCAGTATCACATCCTTTGTGGTTAGATTATAGGTGGCACTAAACGCCTACCTCAGGGAAAACCGCTATACAACACTCGTCAAGTGCCTTTTTAAATGCATCTACAGTACTGCAGTTTACCACTGCCAGCGGCAACCAGTTCCACAACGGTATTACCCTGTTAGTGAAAAACGTTGCCCTCGGTTGCAGCCTGGAGTGTTTTTGCTGCAGACGTAGGTTATATCCTCGGTTGCTTCTATGCGGGACTCAGGATAACAGGTCGTCGAACCAAAGGCCTGATATACACTTGACGATTTCAAATGTTCCATTTCGCCTGTTCGCCAAGCTTGGCAATTTGTTTGAAAATGTTTCATCACCAGCCGAGGTGACATCATCAGTGCTTGTGAAGTGGCCACTTTGAAAGGACGGAGCCCAAGCGTGCATACAATATTCCAGATGCGGGCGAACGGTACACTTTTATAGTGGGACAAACACCTCGGGTTTTCTGCACGTCCTGTGTGCGCATAGACAGAACAATTGTTACTAAACTCGCAATTACAACAAAGGTTCACAGCTTACTGGAAAACGTCATCAGTGACCATAAATTAATGTACAATAAGCAGTTGATTCAAGAAGACAAATCCGTAAAAAATTTTCTTTCTAAATAGTAGGTCAAAATGTTTCGAGAAATAAGTTGAGAAGGAAACCGAGGTAACTTCATAACTAAAACTGTAACATTTTATATGACTCGGAGTAAAGGATGAGCTGTTTGAAATCATTAAAAATCGAATGAATGATAGAATATATCAAATAAAAGGTAAATTTAAGCCCTAATTTAGGTATACAGATAAATGAATAATAGTAAAAAATGTAAATATTGATCGTTTTCAAGCCACAATTGTGTCGTATTTGGGGCCTACTAATGATGATCGGTGTCCTGAGAGGAGAAAGACACGTCAGAAGTAAGCTGTATCCGGATATTATTACCGCTTAACGGTTTTCTTGTATCCAACTTACTTTAATTATGTTAAGAAAAGTTGGGTTGTCAACTTGCACGGCCTTCCAAAGGACTGATTATCTCAAAATTTCAAGTCTTTTTGTTTGGTAATTTTTAATCTGGGGAATGACACTGATAAAATGAATTCAATGAGCCGAACCGTCAAACATTTAGTACGTAGAGACATCTTGAAATCCCGGTAAAAGCGGAAACACACTAATAAGAGATAGAAAGGATACTAATTTCTAATGAAGAAGATGCATATATTATCGTTCAACTTACAACAAAGATAAATATTTTGCATAGGTTACTCTCGATACACAACTTGTAACACAAACCTCTGAAACTACTGATACGACAATGATTAGCATTAAATGTTTCTGATCCTTTTATTGCACTTTAGGGATTATTTAAACTCAAATGATTGTTTGGAATATATGAACAACAATCTCCATTAGATGCAAAACATGAAGTTGTGGCAATGTTTTGTAAAATCATTTTTTGAATTCGCTTTATGTCTTTAATATTTAGATTATTCACAGAGATATAAAACCAGAAAATGTGCTTGTCAGCCGGAGCGGTATTGTAAAATTATGCGATTTTGGATTTGCTCGAACACTGGCTGCTCCGGGTGAGGTGTACACAGATTACGTTGCTACCAGATGGTACCGTGCTCCAGAGCTTCTTGTGGGTGATACCAAATATGGAAGGTAAGCTCGCATGTGTAGATTGCTTTAAGGATACATGTAAAAAAGATCCTAAGTATTACTACAAAAATTACCGAACTGTTGATCGATACTTTTAGGGCTGGAATTTACTAAAGGTGATCCTACATTTTGCTTGAAAACGACTAAGGAAACTTTTCATCTCAATTTTTATGAGCCTTTCTATTAATAATTAGGTATGGCATGTAAAAGGTGACCCAATACTAAATTGAGTCATTACAGTTATTTTGGAAAGGCATACGTAAGCATACATGAGCATGAATGTCACTAATATTTGTAGTCCATGAACCTTTTGCATGATCATGCATGCACATCATAGATATGAAGTTGCTGTGAGTACAGAACGACATCAGCAAAATCACAAAATATCAGGTCAATGAAAGATAAGGTGTTTCCAAATTAATTTAGCAGCATGGATTTACCTCAAAAAGAGATTTACCGATGCCTTGCTTTAAAACACGGATTTAAGCGCTAGTGTCGGGCAATTTATGTAGATCTCTTCCAATAAGCACCACTAAAGTTTAGAAAAATCCTGACACTTCTTTATACCCAGCTGCAGTTGTTTATCTATGGGGAATGTTTGATCTCGATAAAATCGTTCTTTACTAGATCTGTTTATCTTCATGTTAATAATTTCGGCCTTATTGTTTAACGAGTTTCATTTTACTTGCTCCATATTTGTGAACAAAATTACACTTTTCGTTAGATTAAAGCCGAAAATTGTAATTTCAAAGAAGGAAAACATTCCAAGTGAACACATTGTTACAAAGAAAGAAACAGAAAAGGAAAGAAGTTACAAAGAAGTACATCATAAATGATGGGTGATTGAAGCGGAAAAGAAAACTGAGAAAAGCTAAAAGTGTGGCCATAGTAATCAATGTCAGCGGGGAATATTTTGTTGGATCAATTAAATAAAATATCGATTTCTTGATGTAGAAAACTAAAAGAGATTTTGTTGTATCTGATGGTTTATCTAATAGTTTTACACATGATGCAATTTATAAAGGTAAAGATGAGAGAAATTTTACAATCAACAAAGTCATTCCACTTGAGAATAAATCAATTCTTCCAATACATTTCATAAAGCTTAAAGATGAAACTCTATGGTGACTCTTCATTAAATTCTTCAAAATGGATTTGGTGTTGAAATATTTGTTTCCAGAACTGAGGAACAGAGAACATTGCAAGGTTCAAAAGACCTCAAACTTGCATTAAATTTACCCAAAATAACCACTCAAATCAATTGTGTTCGTAAATATCAGTCAATTTGTGGTAAGAAATAATGTTTCACCTGAGTGAAGTTTGTGATTCACAACATGATGCTGATTGACCATTCTGCTCCATTCACCTCAAAATTAATGCATCTTGTTTGGTTTTGCTATCAGTAAAATCCAATACACCTATTTCACGTTTGCTGCTACTGCACAGAAGTGAAATTATCTCGAAAAATAATTCAAATGTGCTAAACTATTGCTGAAACAGCCTAAAAATGGCAGAGAGCGGTAGAATAAGCAACCAGTATTACCTAAATAATAAGTGAGGATAGGTAAGAAAAGATGAAATCCAGAGAACCGGGAATGCAAATGGAGAAATCAAACAATAGGGTCATAATATATGTACTAAACTCGAGGAAACCAACTCATCTGTTTACTCTGTCAAATGAAAGAACAGGCAAAATTTGAAACTCTCTTCAAAGCTTGGAATCATCAGCCAAAAGTGTTTATTACCTAAAAGCCTACGAGAAACGCACATACCCACACACACAAAGGATTTTAAAATTAGAGCATTTAATCTAATTTAAGGTTAAAAAGAGTTTGAGACTATTTTCAACTAATCGCAAATTCGCATTGAAACAACAAAGTTTGTTCCCTTATTCTATTCACTATAGACGTTTGTACGACGTCAATGTTGACAACTTTAACTACCTGAAAGACGTTGAAAATCGATTGTTTAATTTGAGAAATTTGATATATTCGTGTGCAGGCTGAAACAATTATTCAATAAAACACCACTTCTATGGCAAATCCGCACGATTCCACCACCAATATTTTGTTTTTAGGTTGCAAAAATTTATTTTACCCTTCAAAATAATAATAATTTTCAAATTATCTCAGCTTAGGCTGTGCCCATTGGATTCCGGTTCAAAAATCGCTCTAACAGTAAATTTGGGCAATTAATTTTATCAATGACGGAATTCTGTTCTTTTGATCAAGTCAAAGCAGTTTAATTCTATTTGCGCATCAACAAGTAAAGTTTTCACCTACCCAACTCTCCCCCAGACGATGGGCAGGTGTATGCAATCAGTTATAATCAGATGTCTAATTCATGCAATTTTTGGACCAAATAAAACCAAATAATACCCTTAATGATCACCTTCCGTATTGCTTATTTAAGTTGTTATAAATTTTATGTAGCTTGTTTTTATTTATTTGTTTCAAGAATAAAAAGATAGTCATTTCCAAAATATTTTCATATGATTAAATGGTTCAGCAAGATATTTACTGCAATAAAATGCACGTAGTATAAAGTTTGCCGAATCAGTAGCGGTAAAATGTGGTATGGGATTAGTCGATACAAATTGAAGATTGAAAATGCGATTCAAATTATTTGATGAGTTGTGACAGATGGATTGAATAACTAACCAAGACTCTTAATTCTGCAAGAATGGAACATGAAATAAAATTGGTCGTAAAATAAGAATCAAGAACCTACTTGCAGTTCGTGGTTTTTAAACGCATGAGTCTGATCATGGCATCTTCGTCAAGCAGCCATTGTTTATCCAAGCGACGTACAGAAAATTTGCCACTACTCATCGTTCTATGATCGCATGCAATGGTCAAGCCCCAGCGGCCACGAAATTCGCAGGATTGTACTGGATTTCGGTGATGTTAACAATTTTTGTTTGGCAAGAGGCGTTTATTCAAACAATCGATTGAAGACCTAACTGGTGGTAATTATTTTGCAAAAAGGGGAGACCTAATAATTTATGACATTCATGATGATCGAATAAGACCCTTGAAGAGCTGCTTTTCCTGTGAGGGTCAGTTAGTACTATGTCTTTATTCAGGTTATGACTCCATTTGTAATCCGCTACATTGACTGGCGAAACTTGTAACCGCCTCTTCACCAAAACGTTCCATATCTGTTGAAACCTATTACAGAAAATCAGAAATTCAACTTTCACTCCCCTTAAGTTACCAATGATCTAGGAGTGAAGAAATAGATCAACTTGTTATCTTGGGGATAGAATAAATTTAAATTTATCATCGAATTAGGCCATGAATCATAAATGTCTTAGAATCTGAATATCATTTTTCTTTTGCATGTGGCCGTAAGCACATATAATTACGCCCTGTCGATGAATGATGAATAAAGGGAATACGCTGTTTGATACTTTTTGACTACTACAACAGTGTTCTACTGGAACATGTTTAAAAATCAAAGACCCATAGCAAAACAATCTGTCAGGAGTAGAAAACTGCTTGCTATACTAAACGGTGAAGTGCATATTTTAAGCGAAGCCAAATTTCTCGCTTATGTCAATTCAAACTACTGAGCAAATGGGCTTTGTTAGGAAAGTTTGGTATAGTTTTATTAATCCGCCAAACGCTGGTCACACGACATAATGTTTTAAACTTCTAAAGCAACCTTAGTAAATTGCTTTGACCATGAACGAGGAGGTAAATATTAGGGCCCGATTGTCACCAATTCGTCAGTACTACCGTTTCACGATCTGGTAGATTGTGTATGTTGGCTTGTGAGGAATCGGGTAATTGTATTCCGATCAATCAACTATTAGACGTGATTTATAATCACCATCTGAACAAAGTGGGTCTGTCTCCAATTTTGAAGTAATTCATCGTGTAACATGAGTGTGTCACGCATACAAACACAAAAGTCTCAGAGGCAAACTGAATAGCTGCAATAGCCTCACTGAAAGTTGTCTTGTTAACGGTGAATAAATAAATGGCTAATCAAACGAGGACTTACCCGGTTTTCAGTCCAGCACACAAACCACCCGGCGTGCATCTATAGTGACCACACAGTAAAAATATCGCTGAGCGTTTAATTATGAGGAGAAAATGAATCCATCTTCTCTTTTGGATTGTGGTGTGCGCAATCGAAAGAGAACAATACACGGGAATATGCTCTTCAAATTGCTTCCATAGTTTGAATAATTACTTCAAGATTGATGAATTTTTACCTGAATCCACTATCATTTTGTGTTGAAAGTAAAAACGGTTCTATCCTTACAAGAACAGAGCTCTTGGTATCATGAAAAGTTTTCCGTAACAAACCAAATGTGTATTGTATTTTCCCAATCAAAATCATGGCAGTTTTCTGCCGCCGCTGTATCCTCTGAAATACCAACACAATAAAACTTCGTTTTGTTTGTTAACAAAGATTCATGCACTAGTTGTTCCGGACACCGATGATCACACTCCGAGAAACTGAATAGAAACTCAGCAAAGTGTAGAAAGTGATGTGCAATTAAAAACAGTAAATATAAGACGAATTATCCATCCAAGGGTCAAGGCAGCATTACGAAACTTTTATAATTTGGTAACACCAAAATATACAACAAATTAAAACAATTAATCTATTAAAATTCATTCGAGTTTGAGTATGGTAAAATATGTCGGTCAATACACATATAAAAGCACTGAAATACCAGGAAATCTCTCTTATACATGTTGCAGTCACATAAGCATTGGAATAAATCAACAGATTATTCCACGAAAAACATCAATGTGAGTAACTTAATAATCTACTGACTAATTGCTTTTATACCTAAACGTTTCAGGCGGTATACTGTTAAGAAATGTGTTGACATTTTTGACCTAGGACTTTTATTTTCCCTTCAGCTCACCTGAATTCACGGAAATCAGAGTCCACGGAATAATCCAAGAAGTAACGAATCAGAAAAAATTACAACACATAATAAATGCTCACAGATTGTGCGAGCTTGTTTTTCTCAGGTTGCCCAAACTAAAAAAGACAAAACCCCAGAGGTTTCCAACTGAAACATTTGACGACAAAGTTAAACCTGCTAGTCAGCACAGCGGAGCGAACATTCATAACCTATTGGGCACCAGTATATAATTTGCTGAATCACACTCTATCCCTTGAGTGAAGCCAAGTGTTGAAAATACCGAATATACCTCGATGCTTATTCAAGATTTTTATTTTTGTTAGACTCGGAATTGTGTAAATGTTCGTTTCCCACATATCGTTTGGTTTGTAGTGCGAAATGTTCTGTCATTGACCCCAGATTTATCGCCCTGTTTGCAGCCCGAATGTCGGTTTATCTTCCTCGTACTTTGATGGAAAAATACTTCCTTAGTAGGGCTTCCTCATCACAGTTTATTTGGAACGCGTGCATTTCAAGATGCACAAGGTGAGGATGTTAAATCGAGATTATAGATGTTCACTCGCATTATGCGGTGGCTCTCAGAACTAGCGATGGAAGCAAAATGATCACACTACTGATGAGGGCTCTGGTCCAAATTTCTGGCACACTGCATATATATATACATATATATATATAATGAATAGCAACTCTATAAAAGTAAGGGAATTGATCAAGTTGAGTGGCATTTTAGTGCACAGATTATCTATTTATGACTTCCATATCCTTTAAAAATTTAAATGAAATCAAGAGTAACTAATCGGGAATGGACGATTTCTATTATTCAGCTATGTGATATGACAGGCTTCTCTACGGAAAACCGGAAACCACATGAATAAATCATTTACTTAATTACCGGCTACAAAAATCATACAAGTTATAAATGATAAGTGTATCTAAGATTATAGA